GTASTTCTCCTATATGTCCAGGACAGATCGCCTCAAAAATTCTGTGGATTCTTGCAAAACTCGAGGGCTGAGATGCACCCAAGCAATTGGACAAGGTAGCACCGGAGGGGATGCTCTTGAGATGCTGCACAGAATGGAGCTCTCCCAGCGTTTGTGCTCAGGGTAGATTGCTTTGCACCCAGGATAACTCTATAGCAAGTTGCAAAGTAGCACTGGGGAGACTGAAAAACAATAGGAGGGGAGGAAAAAAAAGATGAATTCTTTTAGTGGGCTTAAGAACTTGATTTCCTTTGAAAATGCTTATTTGAGCTGATGGCTATTGAAGTCAATGCCATTTGCTGATAATCAAGAGCATCCATAGTTGTAAAAGTCTAATTACAGGACTATTTTAAAGGGTTGTTTTTCAAATGATTAAGTCAGATTGATGTACACAAACCACGAGTTTGACTATAAAAGCTTTTATTTCAAAAAAGTGGTATCCAGGGCTGGATTAAAGAAGATTAAAGTAGAAATTCCTGGAGCAATAAAATGTTATAGCTATATTCAGACACAGTCTCTATTCAGCTTATACACATGCTCAAAAAGTACTGGGCCTAAAAACATTYTCTCCCTTACTTTGTCAGTGTAAATTCTATGTACGCCCAAAGAGTGCCAATATTTACCTCGCAAAAAGCATGAGGATTGGAAAACTAGTTTGGCTATAAGGTAATTAGAACTACACACGGCTGTGTACATGAACATATTTGCACCTAAAAAAATGAAAGTCTGTAAAAATAGAGGCTAAGGAATAGACCTCATATACCTAAAAATCTCCTCTTCTCATCTGAGGTGAGGTTTTTATTATACTATATAATACTATATCAGATGAAGTTATGAAGCATAAGTACAAGAGTTTTAGTACTGCATACTATACTAACCAAACTAATAGCACAATTAGGAACCTCTACATCTTAGTTATATACAAAGAGAAAAGAGCTCTTGGAACGGTAATATAATTTACAAATTATTTTTGTTATTTTATCCAAATGAAACCTAAATCCAACAAGGTCCTGTGGATCATCTTTGCAATGAATTGCAAGACTTCTACACATAACTGTTCTCAAATTCCAGGCCTACAGTCTATCTTATGCAATTCCCAAGTGTTATTTGAATAGCTGAAGTCCCTCAGTTTGCTCCAAGTCATCTAAAGAGAAATCCTTGGAAACAGAGGGGCCTGGTCATATTTTTCTTCACCAAATACTTCCTACGCTCCCTCCTGCAATGTCCAGCTCTCGTTTGGGCTTTAGGATGAACTCTGGTATATTTTTCCTTAGTGTGCTTTAAGACTATTCCTAACTAACAACCTCACTTGAAAAAAAAAAATGTTGGGTTTAATTAAAAGCTCTTCTAAACTTGTTTAAAAGCCCTACAAAGTTTTATTAAAGACGCAAATAAAACACGTCACACAACAAAACCTGTTGCTCTACAAGTATCATAATTCCTCTACGGTAATAATACTCACTATTATTACCATTTAGCATAAACACCTAAAGGATTTGGTAACAGCAGACCAGCATCCCCTTCAAGCTTTATTATACAGGCTCATAAAAAATACCGTGTTTGCCCCAAGCAGCTTGCAGGGCAAGTTTACAGAAAGTTTATAACAGGGAATRGCAGGGAGGTGAGAGAGAGCAGGGAAGCAGCTCCCAGCTACAGACAGAGGTCACGGCACACCGGCTGGGAAATTTTATTCAGTGCATAACATCTCTTCAAACATTACTGTTAAAGAATTWAATTTGTTCCTAGGTACATCTTTTATAAGCAATTTGCCGGGTCTCAGTATACAGTGTAGAAGCACGCATTCTTTCTGCCTCGTTTCTTGCAAACTACGTGGCAATTTTGCAGAAGAGATCATCGCTGCAAATATATCGGTATCTAAGTACCCTGCAAAGGAAGAACAAAAACAAGAACAAAAACAAACTACAACCTGTTTATAGCTTAGAAAGCTCTTTTCTCTTTGTTGCCTTGTTATGGTTCACGGCCGTTAACAAAATGCAAAATTAGCAGTATGCAGCTGGTCTAACTGCCCACAGGATGCAAGATCCACGTCTCGCCGTCTAGGAAGAGACAAAGCTCGGGTTGGCTGGATGGCTGGAAGGGSTAGTGATGTTTTTTGTAATGATGTGTTTGGAAGTGATCATTTCATTCCTTTTGTAGATGATCTGAGTAATCCCTTACCAACACCTATCACTTTCTTCTCCACATCACCTTTCCAAAGGCTGACAGTTCAGAAAGTGCACAAAAACTGAGCTTGGTAATGAAGTTCTGCGTTGCACTTTCCAGCCGAATGGAAGGGATCAGGTAGAAAAAAAGAAAGATTTCTGTCCAGTAATGTCAGGAAAAGAAACTTTTTGAGTCAGAAAAAGAAATTCTGAGCTGAAAAATTCATTGCCGCCTCCTCCCGGCGCAACACGATCCTCCGGCGCGTGGCCTCCGAGCCTCCCGATCCAACCCGCGGTTTCTCTCCCGAGTGCAGATTAACCAGGCGCTGCTCTGCCACATTACTCATTTATTTGGGAGAAGCAACAGCATCTAGGAAACAAGAACGATTGCAATTTGTCTTTTTTTTTCCCTAGGCTGCATTGTGATCTGTACACAGTATTGCATAAGCTCTCTATGGAAAAAAATAAGATAAGAAAATAAGTAGTTTTTCTTTCTCAGTGAAGCCATATTAACCAAGAGCAATATATAGAAAGAACAAGGAACCACAGTGGGCACATAACAGGTTGCAYATCCCGCTTCCTGAACAATTCAGGCTTCAAACCCATTAAAGTTTAAACAAACAGACTCTCCTTTCATTAAAAACTTTCCTGGTTGCAAATTATTTATACTTACAACAGCTCTTTCACATATCCAGGACACATGGTCCCGGGACCRTTTCCTTCCTCTTCTTGCAGAGATTCTTATTGGTTTCACAGACCCTTAGGAGATATTTCAAGTTAAACCTATCACTATCAGCTCGACATCTTGGCCCTATGCTCTGCCTAACAGTCAAGTTAGATTTTTATGTGAAGTCAGTAAGACCAAGTGGTAGCAGAGCTATTAATTATTGAGCACAGATATCCAAGATATTTGGGTTCTCCTAGTCCYGGTGCGAGTCCTCTTCCCGTCCTCCCCTACTCCCACCAGCAGTCCCACTGAACAGTGTTTCCYGCGCACAAATCACCGCTCCTTAATGTGCAACACTTGGTGCAGCACATGGTGTTACATTATTAACACCTCCAGCAATCCCAAGAGAAAGCCCAAGTACAACATTGGCTGGGAAAAACTYGTGTCCGAGTTTTCAGCTGAGGTTTGGGAGCAGCCAGTTCTCGGGGCTCCCACTTTATCCCAACTGCTTCACACAGGCTTACCCAGCGTCCCTCTTGGAATTGCTTGTAAATTTTCTATGGAAACGTTTCTCTCTTCATTAAACTGATAAATSAAATGCTCTCTGTACATGCCTGCTTTGCTTTCCAATTTTGTTGACTAGAAAGCCTAGACACAACATTTCACTGTATTTAAAACTTTTTTACTTTTAAGCCAAAATATCTGGCTTTCCATTACCGAAAACAGAAATAGAATCTGGCTTTCTCTTTTCTGAGGAAAAGCAAATTTTACAATTCATTATTTCAACAGAAACACTTTTTTTCCTCATAAATATCACAGAAAAAAATAAATAGTCCCCCTAATAGCTCCAGTGCAAATCACTGTCCTTTAAATGGCACTAATCTATTTCCACAGATAACCTCAAATAACTGGCAGAGAAGCTCCATCAGCCCCAACACTCTTTGCATTAACATTTTAAGGCAAGATAGACCTAGTAAGCCCACACTTCATTCCCAGTATATTTTTGCCTTTTTCCTCCTYGACTGCAGTCTTCTTAAACAGATATCCTGCTGCAGCAGCCACATCCAGGCCTCCTCCTGTCATATAAAAGCAGAAACAATGAATATTCATGTTGGTTTCTGCCAAGGAACCAGTCAAACACGGTGGGGGCATCCTACCTTCTTTTAAGCTCTGTGCCAGGCTGAGGCTGGCTGAACTGCCGGTCTGCTGAAAAGTTATAAGAAATAGGAAAAGGAAATAATAGGTATTTCACACCCGGGATTTAAAAGCAAATATGTCCTAATGTAGGTCGCTAATACGAATGTTACAGTTTCAGAGCCAGACTCTGCAGTTTCTGTGCCACAGATATTATTTTCACGTCATTTTCATTATCGAGTCTTAAATAAGACTCTGCTGAGATGAAACAGACAGTCCCAGCCCTGCATTTGAGAATTAGCCGGAACATTTAAAATAGTTCAAGTTGTGCGAAGAGGAAAATAGGGTAAGCACGTCTTAGAAAAGCAACTAGGAGAGGCTGAACAGTGTCAAAAAAAAAAAATAAAATAAAATAAAATAAAATAAAATAAAATAAAATAAAATAAAATAAAATAAAATAAAATAAAATAAAATAAAATAAAAGCACTGTCAAATCAGACTTCCAAATGAGTTAAACTCTCATGCCTGAATCTCATTACAAACAAAATTCTGGGGATAAAAGCAACACCACGATGCATCCAGAAGATGCATCCGTGATGGAAACGTGCTATAGTAAACGTGCACGACATGTTACCCGGAGCACAAAGCAGCACCATGCATCACTACAGGTCCCAGCCGAGTGTGAGGGTGCGGAGGAGCCCTCAGCTCTGCAGGGCAGGGACAGGACCAAACCCACACAATCCAAGCGGGAAGAAAAGCAGACCTGGGGGAGCATCGCTTCAGTATCTGTCTCTTCCCACTTTCTCCCCGCTGTTTCCCTTTCCCGCTTGCATACATTTCCCTGCTATCCTCCCAGTGCCAAGTTAGTTTTGGAACATCTTTATGTGGCCTGTAAATATTGCAGCCACCACCTCCTTGACCAACCACCTGATTCACCTTCACGAGCCCACTTTTTTCTCCTCRTAATGTGTGTCTACTATCACCAGTACAGCAATCTGTGTCAGTACCCTCCCTATATTGATCTGTTCTGAAAGGTATAGATCAGTATTTTCACTCTCCCAAGGATATTTTGCCCTTTTGGGTTTTTCCTCTTCACTACAGAACTAACATCAGGTGATTGTCATTGAAGAGACTTTGTCCAGGGTCTTGCCAGCAGAGGAACAGACTGAAGCTTTCAAACTCATGCTTCTGTGTCCTGTCTTCTCTCCTAACCGGTGGGATTTTGGCATCAGAAGTAAGTTGCTCTGTTGGATGATCAGATAATATACACTCAAAGCCAGCAAACTGCGAGGCTGAGGTAATGTAAATAGACAAGAAGATGTTATACATGTGTATCTTGCACACTGCAACCTGCAACAAATATGTCAGAGAAGAAAATGCATATAGGAAATACATGGAAAAATGCATGAGGAAGCAGGCTAAGGTTCAACAATGAAGAATACAGTTTTATTCTACCTACCGTGTGTATTAGAGAGTGTTTATATGAGCAGGCAGCTGTTAGGCAGCATTTTCTTTTTTTTTTTTTTCCACAAAAGCATTTTAGTCTTTAGTAATAAATAATTTACACATTACTTTAAATGCAGAAATATTGACAGCATACAAGAAATTGTCTCTATTGTAAACAAGACTACTTGTTTTCTAGTTCTACATCCAAACTATGAATCAGCTGGAAAAGAGGAATGGACTGACCAAAATCTTTTGAGATGCCAAAGGTTTGACTTATGTGGAACCAGTGCTACCTCAGCTGGATACAAACCCCTCACTGTTCATCAGAAACAGATACTGCAGCCACAACTCATGTCCCTTTACTGTCACGGCACAGTTGGTCATTATAGCATTTATGATGCAATGAAATAGCCCATAAAGTACTGCTGCAGCTTGTTGGAAACAAAATACAAGCCTTTATTTTATTTATTTATTTGTTTTTGCAAGGGTTGATTTACAAACAGTATGTTTGTGAGCTGAATTGTCCAATTTTTGCCTCTTTTTTTTTTTTTTTTTTTTTTTTTTTTTTT